GTTCGTTCTAAAGTATAAAATTACATATTTTAATTGTATTATAGGCAACACTTCACTCTTCGCTTCTTTTTCATTGCCCATACAATAAATGTGAAGCACTTTTCACTTTGAGCGATAAAACAGACTCGAGAATTATCTGCTACCTGAAAGACTTTCTCCAATTTACAGTTGTTTAGGGTAACGGGAAACAAGACATGCTATCAAATGTTACTTCACTTCAGTCCCAAACATACTTTCGCCAACGATTTGTTTGATGTGTGAAAATTCTGGTTAATTTAAAATGGGTTTTAAAGTCTGTGGCATCATCATCATCTCGCCTGAAGTTGTCTAGGCCGTTTACACTTTGCAGAGCAGATAATAGTAAGTTCACCACAGATGTTTGCTTTCTCATTAGTGCCACACAGATGACCTTATCTTTTGCAGGGGTCTACTTAAAGGAAACAGATAAGAGACATATTCCTCTTAGACTTTGTGCATAAATTTTGGTGAACCAATAAAAACATACTTGGAGAATCTCGAGTTTGTTTGTCTTTATTAGATCATATTTCAAATTAACATTTTGTTTTCTATGTGAGGTTCTAATGTATAAGCTACGATCATTAGTTCGCCTAGCCGACGTGCCCTGTGCAAGAAATCAAGTTCTACGTCCATAACTATTGAATGGATTTCACCGAGTCGTAACAGTTTAAACGAGTTCTCTTATATTTCCTATACAAGGAATATTTTACCTCAAGCTCAAATCAGTCTTTATAGATTTCTGAAGAACAACTCATCATACGAACCATTCAAAAGTATATTAAAATCAACATTTTTCTGAAATGATTAATATTTAACGAAATACGATGAACGTATTTCCTGTTTCTGGAACGCGTCTAGCTTTGCAACTGTTCGTCAGTATTGTCAGTAAATAATCTTCCAAGGACAGAGGGATAATGATAAGCGAAGAATCTGATGTATATTCTTTGATGCATCTTTCCCTTTTATCTTCAGAGACATAAATCACATGTCGACGGGTTAGAAGTGAGTAAATTTGCTTCCTGCGGTCAGGTCAGAGAAGGGTTGTAATCACCTTCATATGAAATTATTACCGAAACGTCGGCCTTGAAGGATTATAACTTCCGTGATATAGGGAAAGTTATGTCATATATAAAATAAGTAATGGAAATAAAATCCCTGTGAAAATAAACTAGTGTAAACTCGCGGCCCGCGTGCATGTTTGTGTTTGCCTGTGTGGTAAGTAATTGTCTGATATCTGAAAACTCGGCTTTTCACGCTGGCAGTAACGGGAAGACTAGGACAGTTACATGCGTGTAGGAATAACACAACTGATATTGAAAGATTACTTGAGCGGAAGCAATGTCAAATACCTGATTATTTTAAATAAAATTGAGTAAAAATGCAACTGAGTGCAATAGTAAATTGTTATAATTTGTAATCAGTTGCTACGACGCTTAAAAAAATGCCTAAATTTGTAAACCTTCGGCTCGCGCGTCATAATAAAGGGTGAATGCAGCCCAGGTCTGGGTAAGATTTGAGAACCCTTTGGCCTGGACCACGCATGGCAGTGAGTTGATCGATTGCCTCAGCTTTACGCATTGTGTTGGACGCTGCTTATTGATACCGATGCGTCTGCTCAACTGCGACTGGCTTGTCATGTTGACATCCCCACCCACATCTTAGATAAGTGATAGGCCGAAGGAATCTGAGACTGACTAGGCGACTTTCGCCTTGATGTCACAGCTTACATAAGAACTCTTCGTTGAGTGGTTACTATTCCTGTTCAATACTCGGCAGATTCCCGGTTAAAATTTTAGCCCAGAGACAATCTATGTGGATGGATGTTTTCTGTAGCTGTCCTCAGTTCTTTCTGTCAAATTCTTGGACAGTACCTTGAATTGGGTTTTGCCTACCTCCTTTTGCATCCCATCATTCAACGACGTAATCTGAGGTATTGTAAGCATACGTAGTTAAATAAAATAAATATCTGCTCATAAAAATGTAGCCATTGTCAGTCACGTATATTCTATGAGGGCGTCGTTCGAATGATACGAAATGAATTGAAATTAAGTCTCGAGATGGCGTTTCTGGTAGCAATAAATGTAAACGAAGCGATGGTGGGGTCTGGTGGAATTTGCGTTTGGCGGGAACCTGGTTCAGTCGCCGTGAAGATGTTTTCATGTTTAATTTACTTTATAAAGGCTGTTATAAATGCTATTTAAATCTGAATTGCGAAGATAACGCTGGAATAAATAGTATTAATTAATATTCAACACAGAAAGGCTTTATTCCCGTCAACTTTGACGGGTCATACTACTCTAAACTCTGTAAATAAACAAGAACTTTACTCGTCGGGCCGAACTCGTCAGTTGATGACGCTCTCTAACTTATACAATTGAAACGCCGTCGTTAAATAACCGTATAAAAACTGACGTGAGAAATTTATAAAAATGTGGCTGGAAGACCTCAGAGGGTGTTACACCACTTTGAAGCAGTAATAGGTGGGAATAATTTAAAATGGATGTTACAAGAATGGCGTCAATGTTCGAATTGAACTGGCATTGAAAAGATTGCTCAAGACGGACGGTCCGTAAACTTTGTGGTGGAGGTATCACTGCAACAGGAAGAGAGGATAAAGCAGATTGCCTGCATACCACATCCTCTGACAGTGCCACAACAGGCTCCGCTTCTGCATAAAGATGGAACGAGTATCAAGTTTGTGTAATATGAACAACCTGTTCGATTTAATTTTTGTTGGTTCCCAATATCATCTCTGTTCCAAGAATAGGCGCCAGAAGAAAGGTTAGCTGTAAGTGTTAAGTTTTTCTCAGTTTCTTCAGTGTCTTCCACTGTGCAACTCTGGAGTCCGAACGAGTTATGAACTGTGCGACCAGGGTTCGATTCTCATCAGGAATTTCGATTCTTCTGTTCACTATGTCTCATAATTCAGTGGTCCACGAAAACTTCTACACGCACACCGAGTTGGTAAGATACCAGAAGAATTTATATCTTCTGGCAAAGAATATAAGAAGTACTACCTCCAAATAACCCAAACGTCTTCATGGGATGTTGCTGTCTTCTCGCTGTCCGCTTATCTTTATTGGTCTCATGGAGTTACGGTTCATATTTTAATCACTTTGAAATCAATGTCAATATTTAAGATGACTGTTATCTCAAAAATATAAATAAGGAAACTCGAGTGAGTGACGAGCCACCCCATAATATGAAGTCAGACAGTAAATAACACGAGATTGTCTTCGTCAGAGTAGTAGGCATTCCCGTCGTAGATGGTAAGTCCCTTACACATCATACCATCAGAACGGTCTTGCAACTCCACACATTCTGTAATTTGTGTTAGATGGATATCGGTGGTCAGCGTCCCACTGCTCCGCTTGAGGACAATACCTTCCTCGTCCGGGAAATCAAACCCCTATGGTTCAGCCCGGAGCCAGTCTTAACAAATTTTATTCAGCCAATGCGGTTTTTAATATATACTCGTACATACGAATGGAGAAAGACTAAGGGACCAGACATGTTCAGGAAACTGAACGTTAAGGCTGCCCAAACTGAATTCTTTCAACCCCGCCGCATGTATTACCAGCAGCCCCTCCTGTCAATATTCGAAATTATATCACCAAGGCAATATATACAGAGGGCGCTGAGCTGGCATAACGCAGCGTGAGTAAATAAACACGAATAACTCCGGGATATTTATACCGGGCATTCTATGTGTGCTGACTAAACTGAGACCTAAGAACATAAAATAAATATAAACCAAACCTTGTTTGGACTTGTCTCCAGCAAAAACCGATGACCGCCATTAGGAGGATTTAACTTCCGTCGTTTTAAATTGGAGATTGGCAAGTTCGGTCACAAAACCTTAAGACAAGAGACTATCTGGGAGACTTGGCGGGCACTGAAGGCCAATAGAAAAAATGAACTTTAAAGAAATATGGTGCAGGATGTGCATTTGACGAGGTCCACCGGAGGGCTGTTGTGAACACGGCAACGAACAGCCGGTTTTCTTAACAAGATGGAAATTTCTTCGGTTGCTGAGTAACCATCAGCTTCTCAAGTCGAGCGCAGGTTCACGTGACGGTACATACTGTAATTGCTTTCTCGTGTAGTTTTTACCATTCTCCTTCTGCTTCTACCTCTCTCTGCCTTATTACTCTCCTAAAGCATGACTTAAGACCGCTTTAAGAATGGATGATTCTACTGGACGAACTCAATGCTGCTGAAAGCGACTTTCTGCGCATTTTAATCCCCCACCCTCGTCATTTCTCGTATCCCTTTCGTACCCATGCCGCTTGCGTCGTTACTTTCACTTCTCTCATCCTCATCTTTACCCCCCCCCCTCCCCCGTTATCACATTTTCTTCAACACTTCCACATCAATGTTGTGGGCCTTTCTCTGCCTTGCTAAAACCAAATCGACCGCATCTTCCACACTTTGGTCTTCAGTAACTCTCATTAAACACTTCGTAATTACAAAAGTTGCTCCACCGAAAAGACTCTTGAGGCTCGTGACACAGAAGAACCTCTCACTGAAAATCATTCAATAATTTTGGCGGGACATTACTGAAATTAAGTGCAGGTCCAAGTACTTTACCGCGTGTTTTGTGCGTCGCACAGCACACAACATTCTGCCACGTAGCGTCATTTATCAGTCATCTAAAGTGTAAAGTCATAGCCCAAACGTCTGGGCCCACACATACGCTATCTCTTGTTAGAATAGAAATTAAAACCTTCCCCTGCATGTATTTTGGTTTCGACTGAGATGAACAGAAGCACCACTTGAGGAAGAATCAATATTTTCATCTCCTTTCACATGTTTATTTTCATTTCGGCATGTTACGTCAGAAGGAGCCTGGAGCTTTATAGCTGTTCGTAAAACACAGTAACCTATGGACCTTATAAGGAATACAAGGAATGTACTATATATACAGTTAAAAGAAAAGTAAAATAAGGTAGAGCATAAATCTGGTTTTATTTACTTTTTAGATCTCACAGTGAAGGCTCAAAGGCTATGTGACTGGAAGGCTGATGATGGTTCATAGGACATCAAATCCAGTGTAACCGTGTTCACGATGTGCCCCAATGACAACGGTGCTTGCACCAAACCATTGCTGCCGAGGAGGTAATAACTTTAGAGGTGTCTGAAAACAATGAGCAGAGCAGAGGAAAACATGCAGACCGGTGAGGAAGTGACGAGGTCAGAGGAAATTGCAAAATGCCATTGCTTGCACTCTTAACAAAATCAAGGAGGATAATAATGGGTTGGGAGTGTAGCATGGAAGGGAAGACCCGAGGTGAGACACTAGTCACAGATGGAAGGATAGCGTAATATTAAAATGGAATTTAATTAAATATGGTGATAGAACATGGACTGATTAATTAGGTTCATATCAGAGGTCAGTGGTGGGATCTTGTTAACAAGGTAATAAAACTTCAAATTTTTTTGATTTGCTGAGCGACTGTTAGCTTCTCAATAAGAACTCTGTTCCATGGAGCTATTTCACTTAGCTTGAGGGTTGGATGAATAATTACCCTCTTCAATTATACTTGGGAGAGAAAGCATGGGATATGTACATGAATGTTCATATATTTCAAGTACATTAAAATCATGTTCCATCAACTGAATTATCTTGGTGATGAATAAATTGTGTGTCTAAGCACCGTATTTTAAGGACATATGAGAAGAATAGGGGTAAGTATCCGAACATTCTTAACACGTGTAATAGACTGCTTCAAGTGGTCAGCTTCACTCTGACCACTTCGACCTTTGGGATGAGGCTCTTTGGGTTCTAGAAATCTAATCCAAATCATGTAACTTGAAGCCAGTCATTTTACAGCCTGGGCTATACTGGCCTAAAATTTATGACTGATTTTAATGTACTACTGAACACAAGCCTATATGCTGGAGTTAAAATGTCAGTTAATGTAGCTTGAAAATTCCATACAGTTATTTCCATAGACAGAAACACGTGCACGTCTTAATGTAAAGAGTCAATTTTTATCATCAGATTTTAATCAGATTGGAATGTGTTGACATTTTAGTAGATGTTCCATGTACCAAATTTTATGGCCTCCTCCTCGTTCTTCTTCATCTTTTGGGTCTCCGGTCCGTATTCGGTCCATGGCCTCCTCAGTTCTCCTCTTCAATTTGGTTCTCTGTTAGGTCCGTCTGTCCGAGGCTTTGATCGAGGTTTCGAAACATCTTCCTTTTTACGGTGCAAGGTTGTTAGCCTTGCGACCAACCCCCACCCTGGAGGACCAGGGTACCTGTCTTAGTCTGACCCTTCCCCCTCAACCAGTCTGGCTAGGGAGGCCCTACCAGTAGCTGAGGTACTCAAGCCCCACCACCACGACAAGGTGCAGGTACCATTAAGTGTGGTGCAGCTCAGTTACTATTCTTAATGACTTGGCATTTGGCTGGGACTGTTGATCTGCCCTTTCCAATATCTGTTAGAGCGACTCATGTTCTCTGTTCAGGTGGGACTCTCTGTTTGACAGTGAGGCTGGCAGTGATGTCATCTTTCTTGTGGGACCAGAACAGTGGCGTTTCCCTGGTCATAGGGCTGTCCTAGCAGCTGCTAATCCAGTTTTTCAAGCAATGTTGAATGGTCCCATGGCCTCTAGAGATACCACAACCATTCCCATTGAGGATGTCGATGGCCGAGCCTTCGAAAATCTCCTGCGGTAAGTAAACGAAAGTTTCTATAATCTGCAGTTCAATACAGGGTTGGAGGCAGTGGGAAAGAAGAACTTATGTTACAGATTGAGCTCAGATTATCCAAATAATGGCTATTGACTTTACTGACTGAGATACCATAGTTTACAGTATAATTAAAATCTATTCAATAAAGCCTGAAAACAAAATGTGTTAGGTTAACGGAATGTCATTAAGAAACTGCACTGAGCAGGATCCTTGAAAAGCTGACAGACTTTCAAGTGGTCAAGAAATTTATTTCAATTTTACGAAATTCAGAAACTCATAACATGTTACTGTACTGTATCCTGAGCAAATTAAATGCAGCTTACGACTTCACGCCCTATAAGAGCAGTCAGCAGTCTTTCCATTGTTGTCAAAACATCAACTATTCGTACCTTTGTTGAGGGCTGCAAAGAAATTAATAAAGTGTGAACAATAAGTAAAAGTGTGTTTCTTTACCTTGCAGAGAACTGGTGATTTCACTTGAAAAAACATTATTGTTGTATTTCTTCACAAAACTCGATAATACTCTCTTAAAAGGCATCTGATGTAATATTTAGAAAAGAATATACTTTACGTAATGAAAGAAATTTCAAAATGTGTTAAAATGCATTAAACTTGCAGATAATTGCTTATTAACTAGTATTTTTCTTTAAAAAATTAATTCCCATATTAAGATTCTTAATAAGTTCGTAACTGCAAATGCAATTAAAAAGCATAAGTTCTGTAAGAAATGCAACAAAGTAATCAAATTATATTAAAGAAAGTATCCTACAAAAATGTAGACATCTTAATTTAAAATACCTCATTACAAATGATAGAAGACCACAATAATATTATTATTAGCTTGCATACAAAAATTGCTTGTTCATTATCAATAACACGTATATCAAAAATTATTTGCATGCAAAGACGATCACGGATAATATGGTAATTAAGTGCGTCTTTTCACTGCTAAAGTCATCTACTTGAGGCACTGTGGATTTTCAGTATTCTCTTTCATGGTCAAAACTTAATAGTAAAATAACATGAATTCAGTGTTGCAAAGAACTGATAGTAGCTAAGAGTGTCTATGTGAAGTAAAGGCTTTGACTGTCTTTTTTAAACAATGCATTTATTCTTGGTGATTGCCATGGATGCAATATCAGAGTTCTTTTAAAAAAATGGACTCATGTCATTTAATGTGCTCCTCCTGGGACAAAGTGGGAGCACAGATCTAATTCAATTTTGTTGTTAATAAGTGTAAGATAAGTTCTGTAATTTGAAATTAAATTAAAAAGAAAATATGTTTGTTTCACATAAAGTAGGTGAAAACAGTTGAAGCACATAAACTTACTACTAATACTACATTTAATACAAATGGTGATTTAGCTCGGGCACAACGTACAATACTCTCCATTAACCAGTCTTTGTTGATTTTTGTTTTTCCAGGTATTTGTATAAGGAAGCAGTTCAATTACAGTCTGTGCCCACAGCACTGCACACACTGTATGCTGCTTTCAAATATCAGTGTGGTGGTCTGGTGAAGATATGTGTTCTGTATCTCGATTCTCAGCTGGACAGTTCCTCAGTACTAGAGGTTTACAGTCACCTTCGCATCTACTACGACCCCACAGTTTCATCACATAGAAACATTCAAGATAACTCGTCTTCTGCCGGTCCATCAGCACCTCCTATGGAGGCCACCGCTTGTGGGAGCCATATCCCATCAGTCTCAGTTGAAGGTTACCAGTTTTTGCCTGCTGGCAGTGAAGACATCACCGATGCAATGTCATACTGTGGCGCACTTCAGCATAACTGCCTGTATTATATTGATATGCATACTAAAGAAGTTTTGGAACAAGAACAATTAGAAGATTTGGATCTCGATGGACTTAGACTCATCGCCGAGAGGGAGACGCTTACTGTACCCTTGGAAAGTATCCTTTTTGATGCCTTGGTCAGGTGGTGTAATCGTGAATGTAAGAGGAGGAGACTGGAGTTGTCGGCAGAGAACAAACGTGCTGTTCTTGGTGAAGAGACTTTGTATGCTGTTCGATATTTGCTTATGAGTTCCGAAGAGTTCTTGGCAGGTCCAATGCAAAGTGGACTGCTAAACCAACGTGAGATTAATATGATTCTGGGGCACATTCTTCATCATCCAGTTCCTGAAAACCCATGTCTTTCAAACGTCATACCTCGAATGCGAACGCCAAGAAACAGAGCTCGAGGCCAGCCTATTCCTCTTAGCCAGAGATCAAACCTCGAATGTTCTGATCTTAATATAGCGATATCACAAGGAAATGGTTCTCAGTCAGGAAATACAAGAAGGTGGGTGGGAAAGGGATATGGCAAGAAAGATGCTAAGAAGCAAAAGAAGCAAAAGAGCAAAAGTTGTTCTCCAGAGAGAGGCAATCTCGAGGGTCACAAACAGAGTACTGGTTCTTGCATTGCACAGTGCGTTTTCAGTGCTCTGTCATGTGTGTTTGACTGACAGCTTTCATACTTTATTATACTGCTTTATTTATTCATCTCATAGATGTAAAAATTATAAATGTTACTTAAATTGCTTGATGCAGTATTCTAAACACGCTACATTGCCGAAGCACATTCTCATACGTCCTCAGTTCTGTGTCGGTTAAAGATACATAATATTTATTGTTGCCTTTTGACACTTATAAAGTACTTTTTTAAAATATGATGCTTCAATTTTAATTTGGGAGATCTTGCATTATGTATTCAAAATGTCATTTTAATGTGAGTGAACATCTGTATTTTCTTTGTTGACCCGCCCATGTCTAGTGGCCAAGATCAGAGATGAGATAACGTCATTTTGTGCTGTGATTAACCCAAAATTTATAGAGATATTATTATTGAATACAAAAACTAATAAATGTTACCATAATGATTGTTTTTGAAAGTGTAAACAGTCTATTGTACGTTGTTGATTGATAGTTGTATGGACCTGAATATGTAAACAATCTGCATTTGATGGATCATTCCAGTATTCCATTTATTTACATTGATGCATGAAATTTGCTTTTTAAAATTCCTGAGTAATTATGCACTGGAAGATATGTCTGCACTGACAGTACTTTAATACTTATTATGTTAAGGATTTCCAGTCTATTGATTTGTTATACTGGAACTACTGTATATATGTAAAGCATAATGTTTTATCTTAATGGACAGTTATTTCGTCTCAATGAACAATTATGCTGTTGGATCACGCTGCAGTACAACATGAATATTAAACATCCATGTGGAACTGTGCCGCTTAATATGCCAGTGAATTAAGCATCAGAATTTGTACTCACTTTATGAAACAAACATACCTGTTATTGTTCCGAGAACATATTTTATGCAAGTACTGTATATTTGGATGTCTGTTTAACATGTCTGGTAGTGGTAATTAGGATATATGGTCAATCTATTGCCCTCAATTAAATACAGTCAGCAGTCGGCTTTGCATTAAATTGTATTGTAATAACTCAGGTAGTAGAATTCAAAAGTTCAACACTGCCACTAAATTTGATCCTTTGATGCTTTCATCTTCCTGTACTTCCCTTTAATTGATCATCCTTCCATCTCGTTATTTATATTATAAATGGTAATTTTCAAAAAGATTTTCTTACCAAAACACCTTATATTTCTTGTCTTGCCCATCCTAGCCACATGCCATGCCAACCATAACCTATCTATATTCTGTCAATACTAGGTAACCTGTATAAGTTCCTCATTATGTAATATCCAAGATTGCTTTATGCAACATTGTTCACATTGTAGTATAGTGTCATATATATATATATATATGTAAATTAACTTGCAAACAGATAATGAAGATATTTCTGTTGAGTTTTGAACTTAACCCTCTCCAGTTCAGTGACATCACACCATAGATTACGTGTTTTTCTTTTTCTAAATTAAATCTTCTGCATTTGGACAAGAACTGCATCCACGTTGACTAGTTACAGACATAAATATAGGAAGATCCATCAAAATGCTTAAAATTGGATAGACATATAAATAGTTCTAATGAGAGCAAGGTGCAGGCACCACATAAATTTTGTGAATATTCATTTACTTGAAAAATATGTGATAAATGTTTTATCTATCGGTGCTTTATTAAAAGTTTCTTAAAATTGCCATGCTCCTTATATTCTTGTGATTATGTTAATAATATAGGTTAAAACATTTTTGTAAATTTGTTGGTTGACAATTTTGTACTTGTTTTATACGGCCATTGAAAAATGCATTTGTACTTGTTGACTTCAGTAGCTGCTAACGTAATTAATGTTTTATGTAGATACCAACAGTCTGAAACCTAGTCACACTACAGTTCAGTTGCTATGCAAACTGGAGTAAGTATGGATTGTAATTGAGTTGTAACTGCTATACATTTGTCAAATATACCAGTGACAAATATAACAGAAAGGTAATAACTTTATTTGGATTGTGCCACTTACCTGAATTCATGAAATACAAAGAGATGCACAGTGAAAACTTGTTACAGTAATAGTCTGCATATTTTTGATGATTTAAGGTTTTTAAAATGTTATGTGGTTGAAAAAGAGAAAGAAAGTTTCTTAATAAAATCTCAGGTGATTAGCGCTGTCAAATGGTTAAAAGACAAAACCAACATTTCAGGGATCCCGTTTATTGAAGGTTTTGTGATTTTTCTCCAGATGATTTATTTACCTTTTGTAGTGAGATCTACTGGATGCTGGAACAGTTGAAATCTGCTGTGTGCACGTGTATGGGAGCATCGTATGTAGGTAGGTTTCCTTGGCTCATTGGTAGTAATGAGTAAGGGAAGATAAATAGTGACAAAAATTTTCACATGTGGTAGATATTAATCAGGACTGAAGTTGAATGACTTTAAGTAGAAACATGTTATGAGAAAGAAGGCAGCTCATTGACAAAAATGCAATGAAAAACTTTTAATTGACTTGCAGTAGTTAACAATGGTACTTCCAGGCATAATTTGTGCTGTGTATGTGAAAGGCTGGCACCTGAAGGTCTATATAGGTTGAAGTGTGCAAGACCTCTGCTGTGGCAAAAGCAGATCATGGGTAGTGCTATCAGTCATACAGAACCAACAAGTACATTGGAATGTCCTGACCATGACAGGCCTGATGAAATTATCACGCTAGTAGCTGAAATAGAGACACTGGAGAAAGCATGTAAGATATGGTCATGATTCATCTTTCATAATAACTGAATATTTATGTAAGACAACCATAAGGGAGCAAAAGGATTGTATAGTGATAATTTGATTTGGATTGATTAAGCTTGTAATTTTGTCCACACTAGTTTTATGCGTTCATTCAGGATATAGAAATCGCCCAAGACTGTTTCTTCTCATATTCTTCATGTATTACTGACCTCATTTCATTCAAAGCCACATTATCTTAGCAACTGATTACAGCCTGTTACTCAAAATCACACCTTGCCCTCTTCCATCTTACCTGACCTAATTTGCAAATAGGAAGAATGGAATTTTTCTGATAATTTTAGTGGTTACCCTCATCAGACTTAATGAAATGAATATGCTTTCAGGGATGGAACAGCTAGATGGTTACAATCTCCTCAAATAAGTTCTGCTGCATTTTTAGACAAAACATGAATATATACCACACCTAAAATTTCTCTGTTTACTTCCAGACCAACTTCCTGGCTATACTGACCGGTGTTTTCGAGGTATTCCTCAGTCCCAATGGTCAAATGCCGACATAGTATTTTAACTTGGGCCACGACCACTTCTTTTCACATCTTTTCCAATTCATTATTCACAATCATCCTCTCATTTTACACTACATAAACAGATCTACTGAAAAAGTGTCGTTTAAAAAACAAATAACTAGACCAACCAAAAATATAAGTGGGGGAAGTCCTGTGCACGAAACGCGTCACTGGAAATGCAAAACAGTGCCTTAAAACTATAAAGGGAATTTAGTCTTGGCGAAAAGCTCTAATTAATTCTATAGGCTATTCTGGTGGGAGAATATCCCACCAAGCAACTCTGTCAAAAGAGTTTTGGTTGGTACGTAATATTTCATAACACGCCACCCTTTCGTAGTGAGGACTTACAACTCCCAACTAAACTCCCTTGATCCAGCATACTCAAGTTAAACATCGTGCCCCTAACCCCCACCACAGTTAAATTCCTGATTAGTCTGCTATAAATACTACTCGAGTGAGCTCCATACCACCGATCATAAGTTAGTATTACCTGTGCCACAGATGGTCTGTAAACACCACGGTGAGAAATGTAATGAAGCTATTGTTGCATATTGTTTATTTGACGCTTTTTCAGTAGTTCAGACAAGAGTCGGGTATGAAGCTATATTAGTGGTCTGGTGCACTGTGACATTAGGTAGTCTCCTGAATCTGTGTGGATTTTGTTATTCTGAAACGTTGATAGTTACGTTCCAACTAAGTTAATATTCGATATTGTGCAACATCTGTATTTGCGATTCTACAATCGACTAGTTGAATGAATTTCTAACATCACGCCAGTGTTACGAGAGTGTGATGGAGGGTTAGGTTGTTGCTGATAATTTCAACAGTTGCAGTTGCTTAAATTCAAGTGTTTTGACATTTAAATTTTCTTAAAGTTTCATGTAAAATAATAATATTAATTTGATTCCGTCATGGTTGGTTATGAAGATCCAACGTTTTTTATTAAAGGTGGAGATGTGAGTTTTACTGATAGACAGAAAAACATTTTTGACAAATTGACAGTGGCTGAGAAGGAAAGGAATGAACGACAACAAGAATTAGATCACCGTAGTCACAGTAATATTGTCTGTGCTGGGAACAGTGTACCATCCCGCAAAAGATGTAGATCGGCAATGAAACAGTTCAGAGGTAAAGAGAGCATTTTCAAAAGGCCAGATGTACCTCCTCCACGTTTTAAGAACAAAAGCGTTCCAGACTACCACAGAAATCCACATAAATGGATTAAATATAGCTTAGGGGATGTGTCTCAGGAGGACATGTCTGAACAGAGCAATACAGCAGCAGCATTATCCTTTCTTAAAGAAATGCAGGCACGTAAGAGCCAAGAAAAAATGGAAGTTGATGATTGTCAAATAACATTCAAGCAACCGAAAAACAAAGCCATACTTCTTTCACAATATGGTACATCTATTGGCATGAAAAGTGTAGATAGCAGAGCCAATGAAATTGAAAAACCATCTTTTCGAAGCTCAAAACTTATAATGCCAGAGTATGTCGTTGGCATGACAAAGAAGAAGGACACAAGGAAACATGAAAAACCTGATCATTTACCTCAGAATGAGAACATCTCATCAAAAATAAAACTACAACATTTGATGGAAGAAGATGAGGGCGAGTAGATCACAGGTGAATATTAGATATTCATTGCATTTAAAGAGAAAAGATTATGAAGAAAAGTATAACTGTAAGTATATGACTGTGATGTGACTGAGTAAATGTATCATAAATTTATCTTTGAATATATGTGTAGCTGTAGGTGTAGGTGTAGCTGTAGTTTTTAAACAATATTTATAAGTACAGAAATTTAGAAGTCATAATTTTTAATAACTTTCGTTTTGACAGTTGTTATTACTTGTGTTCCCTCGCTCTGTACAGTGCAGAGGTAACCATTTAATGACATTTTATAGAATTATCTTTGGGTTAAGAATGAAGTACACTGTCTCCTGGAAAACTATCTTGCCAGTAGTAAAAATATAGATAGGTAAATCAAAGTACTGAGACGTAATGGCTGCACAACTGACGTAAAGTATTAACTGAATTATATTAGCCCTAGCCAAATGATTGTTATCCTCCATAACAGAAAGGTCTCTGATGTGAATTCTTTAAAAGCCTGTTATTTTGACTAAATAATTTTGAGTTGAGTGGTTAACTTTGACATTTTATTCAGGAGGTTCTTAGGTTTGGATCTCATTCTGTAGACTGATTGCTGTGGCTGAGATTTTTTGTGATTTTTCACAATCCATCTGACTAAATGATTTGATAGTATCCGAAAACAAGCAACAGATGTATGTTTATTTGTCATTTCCTATTCTTCATTTACTGTCTTTCTATCATTTGATACTACATAACCTGTATGGCTTGAAGTATATATTGAATAACTGTAGAATTAATCTGTCAGCCAATTCTTTTACATTGTAATTAAAAATAATGTGGAGTTCCCATAGTGTGACAATTCTGTTACAGAAAGTTGATGCTGTGCATACATTTGTTCTATGTATTGTATTAATTGATGAGGAAATGGGGTCTTATAGGGAGATCACCTCAGAGGTATAATTTGGAAGACGTTTTGAAGCGATTAAGTATTGAAAGCTGAATTTGTATAAAGTGAGTGGCTCATGAAAATATAAGTTAACTATTTTGCTGTTTTCGAATAAAGTAAATGTAATTGTCTGGATCAGCGTGGTCAAATCGCAAGCTATTGGCCACATCCGGTCTGAGACCACTTGTAACCAGGCCTGTGAAAGTATTTTCTTTACTCTATAAAGGATTTAAAAAAAGTGATGATTTTTATGTTGTCCGCTGCCGTATGCACATGGTATTGACTTTAAAATCCATACTGTAAAATGTAAGTTTTCCAGGTAAAAATTGTGTCAGATACAAGCTGTTGTAGAAGCAAATTTAAAATATGTAACTCGGTAGGAATTTGTGCATACTTCAAGAACATTTACATTTCAGCATATATGTATTGTTGAAGAGAATGAAAATTTGATGTTAGTTTTCAAAAATAGTGCCAGGTAGAGTTTCTTGGCTCATGGGTACAATGGGAATACAGTTGTATGATCTGAAGCTTTTACTGTGGCTAAATATAATGAATTCTTCTCGGGCTACCAGCTGCGTAAGGTGGTTTAATGAAGGAAACACCAACGTTTTGAGAACCATCTGCAGTACCCTGAGGATGAGGAAGAAGAGTGACTGTTTAGTTGAGACCTTGAGTTTTTTAATCTTTCTGTATACGAGGGTGAGTCAAATGAAAACCGTAATTTTTTTTTAAATTTAATTTATTGAGTGAAAGCGGTACACAACTATATCATTTTTCTACATAGTCTCCATTTCGTTCAATACAGGCCCTCCAGCGTTTACGAAGTGTATGGATTCCTCTAGAAAAAAATTCTTGTGGTTGTCTGCGCAACCACTCATGCACCGCCTGCTGTATCTCTTCGTCAGAACGGAACTTCTTTCCTCCCATCGCCTCTTTGAGTGGCCCAAACATGTGGTAATCACTTGGGGCTAGGTCTAGTGAGTATGGCGGATGTGGAAGACACTCAAAGTGCAAGTCTTGGATTGTTGCAACTGTTGCACGGGCAGAGTGGGGCCGAGCATTATCATGTCAAGGACACCTCTAGTCAAAAGTCCACGTCGCTTTGATCTGACTGCAGGTCGAAGATGATTCTTCAAGATTCTTCACTGATCAAAAAACGAATTACAGAACGTTGTTCTTCTTTCGTGCACGTAACTAGTGGAGCAGCCATTTTCAAATTGGCACTGTGATGGCGTTCTGTTTGTCTGCATTATACTACCACCTATAGGATACTCTTTATAGCATTGGTAACATGTCTGCCAACTTATAGGACAATGGCGCGATATTTCGAATTTTTATCTCAGTTTTCGGTTTTCATTTGACTCACCCTCGTATTTGCAACTATCCTCCATATCTATAGACTGTATTTACCCTTCATTTTAAGGTGCTATCACAGAATTTGTGCAGATGGACTGAGGAAAACAAAGGAAACTGTCTAGATAGTATCTGGGCTCTGTTCTGAGAATCAGATCAGAATCTCTTGACTATTAGTCACCCAGAGTTTTTAGCTGATGGCTGCTGAATATTAAATATTCGTTGTGTGTAATATTTACATGTTTATTTTAACAGGTGTCATGGAGGAGCACAGATATGTAATTTTTATTAAGAAGAATTGTACTGCTGCAAAAGGAAAGCTTCTGTACACAAAATGGTGTGTTCATAATGTGTATTTCAGTTACATTCACATGTAATCATGTATGTATAATACTAGTTTGCTCTTTTGTTCAGTAAGTTAAATAAACAACTTAAAAATTTTAACATGTTCTTCTATGTGAACAAAGCCGATAATAACCAATTTTCAGTGTTTGGTTTTGTGTGTATAGATAGAATGCTATGCCAGAAAATATGTCTGAAATATATGACTATTCAGTGGTGGTGGTAGTACTAGTAGTAGTGTGACAAAATTTATAATAAAATACATGGCATATTATCTTTTTATCAGTTTCAGCATCTTTAGCGTACTTACATTAGCCATAGACGGTGGTTGACGTCATTAGCAACCCACTCAACCGATTCCTTCTTCAGGACGTAGCTAGGGCACTGATTCCAATTAAATCATTTTTTGAGGTAGGAATCTGCCATTTTACAACAATCTTTAAAAGTTGCGGTGCTTTCTAACGGCCGGAAAAAACAAAAAACTCATCTTCCATACCTTTCGAACTAAGTCTCGATTAATATTCACATTTTATTTAGACCATTGGCGACCCACTCAAGTTAACATGGGCACTCATTTTTTGTAGCGACCCAGAGGTTAAGAACCACTGGGTTAATGCAATCGGAATGTGATGTGATTTACGCCGTTCCTTCTCTCAAGCCGTTAATGCGTACTATCCCATGTTTTAATTTTGAATATTTTTGGGCGGTATAACAGTCAGGGTCATTCTGACATTAACGAATTGGTTAACATTAACTGTTAAGTTGTTATAACGAATTGTTTACTGTAACTGCATTATCTAAAAATAGGGGCATAACAATTGTTAAAGAAAGGGTGGATAAACTAGACTAAAATATCACTTGTTAAAAATGTTAGGGAATTTTAAGGTTATGTTGCGAACTAAACGTAGTCGGAATGTGTACTTAAAACACGATGACTATGCGAAACTTTGAGGTTAATATGACGAATTAAACTCATTTTGAATTATGTTCTAGTGGATATTGTGTATAGAATTTAATTATTAAATTATGTAGATCCATAATTTATCATTCCAGCGAACCTCATCAAATACATTGAAGGCTCTGAAGGAAAGCAGGCCACTTATCTTACATCCTGTGCAATCGTCGACAACTTGTGTCGGGATTTTTCCACTTACGCGATTTCCTTACCCCTGCTACAGACAGAATTTGGTAGCCAAGTTTAGTGACAAAGTTGGAGAGATTACCTCATCTGTTTTTTAGGCCAGTGAATATATGCGTTTCGTATAAGGAACCGGAATGGACGAAGGGCAATGTGGTAGAAACAAAAATACATGTAGCAATCGTCTGGGTGATTTCCAAAGGGCCTATTGCCAAGTAAGTATTGTACTTTT